TGTTATTAACAAAAGGAGGGATATTTGACTAAGTGCTGACCTATTTCTGTTCGGCTTTGAAGTTTAGGTTCCAAAGATTCTGTTTGATCCATGCTTCTCTGATTTAGAAATTGAGTAATTGATTTTTTCCCAGCAGATTTTACACAGCAGAGATATTTCTTATATATTAATGATTTGATTTGATTTCTACAGCTCTCTCCCCCTCCCCCCCATCTCAATAAACATCTCTGGGCAGCTCACAATTAAAATCTTAAAAACGTTTTAAAACAATAGAACAATATTATATTGCTAAGCAAGACAGAAGAAACATTTGACAACAAACCAGGTACCAGATGTGTTGATTGTTTTGCTCCCATCTCATAGCTTCCATGACATTTGCATCTGGCGCTGAAAAATAATCATCATGACTTGGTTAATCAGGTTCCAGACCTTAGAAAAAAAAACCATTTTTTGGTGAGGAATTAGAGCTTAGTAGTAGAGTGTGATCTTTTTTTCCATAGAGTCAGTCTGTGAGATCTTGAAAGTTCTAGTAAGGCCTTTGCTTGAGATTTTGAATGAGACAGCCATCTGGCTTTAGATGAGCAGATGATCTGACCTGCTAGAACAAGGCTTTTCAACCAGTGGTACAGGTACCACCTGTGGTACATTGGCACCTGGCAGGTGGTACGCGACCATCCTAGAAAAGTGGTAGCAGGGGAGGGGAATGAGCTGAACCGGTGGCAGCACCGCACAAGCCTGAGCGAGAGACGGCTGGAGCTGCAGGGCTGTCAGGGCTCAGCGGAAGCGCCAGGATTAGCACCAGGCTCCAGCTGTAGCTCGGCGCTGATCCTGGTGCTTCTGCTGAGCCCTGAAGAAGCGCCGATCAGCTGGAAAGCAGCACTGATCCTGGCGCTTCTGCAGAGCCCAGAAGAAATGCCGATCAGCTGGAATGTTGCAGCCTCTCCGGGTCTTGTGATTTACATTCAGATGCTTGGCAACTGATTCATATTTATGACGGTCACAGTGTCCCAGGGTCATGTGAAGTGACCAAAACCTGCTACAACCATCCAGCAGACGGGGGGGATAAAAACCAAACACCCCCCCACCCCACCCCCGCTGCCAATCCTCAACAGAAATGCTCACAACAATGAAAACCTTGGATAGGAGGAAGAGTGCGGACGGGTGGGCAGGCAGGCATCTTGCTCGGCGGTGGCTTGGGGGACACTTTTTTCAGTGCCATTGTAATTTCGAACAATCACTAAGCGAACTGTTGTAAGTCGAGGACTACCTGTACTTCATCACTTTTTTCCTTTTTTGGGGGGGGGATCATCAAGTTTTTGACACCTTGCTAGGCGACTGGTGGTACTTGGATATTGCCATATCCTAAAAGTGGTACAATGGGTGAAAAGGTTGAAAAGCCCTGTGCTAGAAGACTACCTGTAATTTATTTTTAATATGAGTAATAATTGCTCCTTCTCTGCTTCAGTCTTTTAAAAATGCAGTAATGCTCTGAATTTTACCGTAGTTAACTTCATATAAAAACTGGATTGGTTGTTTGTTTGTTTTTTTGCCATTTCTCAGCTGTTCAATTGTTGGCCAAAGAATTGTCTGAACCCTTATCTCTGGAAAGTACCTTGCACAACAACAGTTTTGGTAAATCTGGAGCCTTCGGTTTCAAGCCTGAACAAAACCTTGAGCTAAGCAAGAACTGTGGGGAGGACCTTGTAGTTATTTCGCCTGAGACTGGATCCTGCGAGGATCTGCAAGATGACGGTGACGCTCGTTATTTCTGTTCGTCCATCGAAAACTTTTGCAGCCTTACTCCAGCTGACGATCAAACCTCCATTTACGAGAGGATTCCAAGTTCTGGCACAAGGAAAAGCACTCAGGAGAGGACAGAATGGGCAAAAGAGGACACTAGCTCAAGGGCAGGAAGTCTCTGCTTCGTTGAACTAGCCACAACGTCATCCAACAACAACAAGGAAACGGAGACCAGGAGCAGATTAGTCATGGGGGATGTAGAAACTGACCTCACGCGGTATGTTTTAAATGCCACGCAAGAGCAGAGTTTTCCAAGATCGAAGGTACTGCTGTGTGGGTCTCAAGAAATGAACTCTGGCAGTCCCTTTCAGAATTCTGCTCAGGAAAATATCAGCCAGCCAGCCGTGTTTCCACAATCAAATATGGATGCCGTCCAGGCTAAAAGCTCGGATTCCCGCTTGTCGCAGTGCAGCATCCCTGTTTGGGTGAGTGACCTGAAATGGAGACTCCTGGATTAAATGTAAGCTGTTCTGTTTAGAGACGATATGAAAGGCATTGTTTTTCAGCTAACAAAAGCTGTTTAGTCTAATTAAAAGATGTTGTTTTAATTAATTTCTTCTTGCGAAATAAATTCCCTTCACTTTTTTTCTATAGAACTTGTTGTTGTTAGTTGCGAAGTCATGTCCGGCCCATCGCGACCCCATGGACAACGTTCCTCCAGGCCTTCCTGTCCTCTGCCATCTTCTGGAGTCCATTTAAGCTCACGCCTACTGCTTCAGTGACTCCATCCAGCCCCCTCATTCTCTGTCGTCCTCTTCTTCTATTGCCCTCCATCTTTCCCAGCATCAGGCTCTTCTCCAGTGAGTCCTTCCTTCTCATTAGGTGGCCAAAGGACTTGAGTTTCAACTTCAGGATCTGGCCTTCTAAAGAGCAGTCAGGGTTGATCTCCTCTAGGACTGACTGGTTTGATCGCCTGGCAGTCCAGGGGACTTGCGGGAGTCTTCTCCAGCACCAGAGTTCAAAGGCCTCAATTCTTTGGCGCTCAGCCTTTCTTATGGTCCAACTTTCACAGCCATACATTGCAACTGGGAAAACCATGGCCTTGACTATACGCACTTTTGTTGGCAGGGTGATGTCTCTGCTTTTTAGTATGCTGTCTAGATTTGCCATAGCTTTCCTCCCCAGGAGCAAGCG